AGTGAACACACGCAGAAAAGAGGTGGTAGCAATTATATGTGTAACAACTATATAAGATTTGTGTATGCAGAATTAAATAAATATACAATTAAATAAACTACTTTCACTGGAAAAATATTATTTTTTTTATATTTACAACTATAATCACATAAAAAAATAATTACTGTAAATTATGGTGAAGAAAATTGTTTTTTAATTGCATTCTACTATAATGTTAGTGATAATAACTTTATATGCATGTTACTACTACCTTTTTACTTTTTTTACCAAAAAATATAGTTAGGACCAGAGATAACTACGATTTCAGTTAGATCAATCGTTTTTCCTCTCAATGTATAGTTATTACAATCAAAGTTGAATGGTTGCGAGAATTATATATAGTATTTATGTAATTCTCTAAACTATTCAGTATTAGTTGCAATAACTAACAAAATAGTTTATATATATATATATTGAATATACTATACACATTATACTGTTTATATAGTTTATTAAATATATTGTATATATACACACAAATTAATTCTATATACGAAACTCGTGCAGTTGTCGTCTCTTTCTCTGAGTGCACGTGCACGTAAAGTTGGCAGCAAACAGTTTACCAGCCGATTTGTAGAGGTTACGTCCGTATGAATAGTTCGTATGGCGCTTATATTTATCACGTAGAATGATGAAGTAGAAGTACAAAATAAAAAATATAGAAAGAATTATCAACATTTGCTAAAAGCAATACAAAATGTGGCTTGAAAATCTAAATACAATTTTTACTAAATTTGTAACTGCACCAATATAGCAAAAAATGTATACCCTGCAAAAATTTTTGCATATTTAACTCATTTTATACGTCCCAATTTATCCTCTCCAAATTTGTTATTTTAACATAAGTATGTTATTAAATAATACAACTGATCTATACACTTTACATGTAAAATATGCCACCACATGAACGTAAATGTTACATATAATATTATTTTAATATTTAGAAATGATGAATTTTTATGACGCAAAATAGTCGAAATAACACAACAATATTTCAAATCAACACACGAGTATGTTAAAAATCTGCCACAGAAATTTTTACACAGATCAATTTCAACACAAATACAAAATGTCTTTTATCGTGCATTATTGTATAAGTATATAAGTAAATTTATTTCAGTACATACACAGTATATTTGCTTAATAAATATAATTTAAAAAATTGTAAAGTTTTTTTTCCATTATCGCGATTGTCTCGCGTCATACGCTCAGAAAAATGGTTTTGCATGTTTTGCTGGTTTATCTAGAATTCTAAATGTCAGCTAAAATGTATCGCGGTTTTTTTATATCTGCTAGAAAATTGTCTGTGGAATTACGTGGAATTTACAGCAGCAAAACGTTCTAGCAACATCTGCGGGAATATTTAGGTCCCGTTAAAATTTTAATAAGAAGTGTGACTGACCTTAATTTCGATGAACGTCACAGAGAAACTTTCTTGCTAAATTAGCCTAGCTAAATTAGTTCACGTATAAATTCTGCCTGTCATCTATATTGATTAGATACAACACATATGCGATATATCGCAGTGTTTGCTAGTCCATTTATCTATCTTAACTAACTTCTCATGTCTTCTTGGCATGTCAAATAATTCTTGTTACGTGAAAGCAAGACTATTTCTCCGAGTGTAACAATCATAAGAGTCTATCTGAGAAACTACCAGAGTAGTCAAAATGATTTGTAACTTTTTATAAAAATTACTCAAATTTACAACGGCGCGTTCTATATTCTATATTCTTAACTGATGTTGAACAAAACTGAATAAAGCAAATAAACATTTCTTCCTTCTTGCATCTTTTCGAGACTCCGTCGTTCTGAGCGTAGTTTGGCAGAAGTAGGCCGGTAATCGTCAGTAGTTCTGGTGTTGAGAAACAACCGAATGCGTCAAGGAATTTATCATTGAAATTAATATCACGGCTTGCTGAAGTGCCAGATACCAAAGAGGCGTGCTTCTAATTACGACATCGCGATAAGGCGCGTTATCTAATCTATATAGTACGTGGACTTTTCATTCAATCGCGCGGCTCATTAAAATAAGCTACTATGACGATTGATCGCTGCCCCGGGCGCGCCATTCCACGCGCGAAACTACGGCGAAATGTGCCGGATGTGTCGCGTTGGCTTCTGCGAAACGTCGTAAGTCATGTGTCGCAAGAATCGAGGAAACGCAATACTTTATCACGCTTGTGTCAATATAACTCACGACGATGACAGCTGGTGTTGGTGACAACGCGAGCCGCGGAAATTATTTACAGTACTTCGCGTTAACCGAAGGTTGTCCAAACACACTACGCTCGGGTTACTCGCGCGAAGTCTTTTGCTTCCTCTCACTGGTTATCTGATACCGGCTCGTTTGAGAACTTTATCCCTCGGATTGTGAGTATGCACTGTGGCAAGAGATGTGTCGCGCCTTCCACTCACGTTCGTCGAATTATTCATTCATTTTCAATTGATTTTTACCCAGGTTCGAAAATTTCATTCAACTACCGTTTAACCAAATTTTCTTATCACAACTTGTGCATATTTCTATTGATAAGAGTCTCCAAGTAATTTAACCAATTTAATGTATAAAGTGTCTTTGTGAAAGCGTACACTGAGAAAAAGATACTTGAAAATTTATATTTGTAAGATATAAAGCTTATTCGTAGAAAACATTTTTTTTACAGTAATAAACTTTACATCCCATAAATAAATTTTCACTCAGTGTATATTTTTTCAGGATATACATGAATCGTATAGTATGATGTAATCGAAGGAAATACATTGATATCATAATTTATAGTTAAGAAATTTTCTTTGCTTTTGATGTTGTTCAGACGTTTCGGGCCTATTTCACACCCTCTACAGTGGTAAATATAATAGCACAGAGTATAAACAATTGTAAATATATATTGCAATATATATTGCAAATGTCCCAGAACAATCTCCGAAGCTCTCATTGAGACGTAATGCGGGTTAAGGTAAGCACAAAAGTCCTAAAGCGTTTTGCGATATTCGCAATAATTACCGAGATAGTAATTAAAGAAAATTTGTAAGTGATCACGCGCGAGATATGACAGATGAGCTGTAGTGGCGACATCTGCCGCTTGTATAATAAAACAATGAACAAAAAAGTTCTTTATTTCTAAAAATTTTTGTTATAACTTTTTTCTGATAACCTTGTAGATTTTTAGTTATTAATTAGAGAACATTAATATATTATCATGAGCGACCATCTGTAAATCTTCTTTAATTATCTTGCGTGATTATTCACAAATTTTCTTTGATTAATATCTCGATAATTATTGTGAATATCATAAAACGGTACAGGACTCTTATATTCATCTCAATCCATATTGTATATTAAAGATTATTCTAGGACATTCTGTATATTATCGATATAAACAATCGTAAATATATATTACAATATATATATTAGGTTGATCCATAAGTTCGTACGTATTTTTATCTAGTGTTAACATCCGCATTGACATTGATATTAAGAGGATAATTTCATACACATAGTTGGTCGATATGCTTTAATAGCTATATGTTTTAATAGCTGACATTTCAGAGCATATTTTGTAATGTAAGTAAGTGTTTAACACGTTAAGAGAACGCCGGTGACCGAGAATGAACTTTCCGTTCAGACCGCGTTGGTCATTGGTGACCGACGATATAAAATGTAATTAAATTGATGATATTATGCGGCGTAAGTCAAAAGATAAACAGAATGGGCTCGGCACTTAACGTGCTCAAAGAAATACAGTTATCTTTGTTGCGGCTTGAAAATGGAAGGCGGTGAGTTTTTCCAGTACATTATGCTTTTCTACTTCCGTAAAAATTGTTAAAGTTTGGCTGGGATATTTTGTCTCACTCACCATGTTCATCCGACATTGCTCCCCCCTCCTCCTCCAATTATCGTCTATTTCGCTCATTACAGAACTCTCCTAATGGCATAAACTTCACTTCTTTAGAAAATGTGAAAAATTGGAATATTTCTTCGCCGGAAAAGCACAAAAGTTTCATGAGAGGGGAATTATGAAATTACGTGATGGCAAAAAATTGTCGAACAGAATGACGTATATATTATTGATTAAAATTTTCTTTAACAATAAGAAAATGTATTTTAATTTTGTTCTAAAATCCGCACAAACTTACAAATCAATCCAATATTATCAATAACAGAGAATGTTAAGAAGGTTATAACGCTTCATTTATGCATCTGTTAATGTAATACACAGAAATAAAAAGAGATATAAGTTTCTAAGAGTTTAAATGTGTATATGTATACGTATCTCAAATGTTACTATAAACTTTCCACCATTGCATTTTCTAAACAAAAAACGATCAACAAATCTGAAATTTGTGTACAATGTCGGTATATCAGTCTTTAATATCACAATAGTTTTTCATTAAAACCTTAATTTCAGTCTGTAAGAAATTAAAAATAGTACCTTCCCCCTCCGAAAAAATAGTACCAACCCTAAGAACACGTATAAAAGCATCAACTTTAGCTTGAAACATCTGAACTCTTGAATAGTCAATCCTTTTTCTAATTGCACAAGCAATTAGATAATATTTCAATTTGTATGTAATGCAATAAATTCTTTACAAGTCTGCATCACAATCTCTTGAAAAGAACGAGAATAAATTTATATTAAATTGATTGGATATCAGCCGAGCCTTTTCTGAATCAACTTTTTCAAATTTAAAACACGGATTTAGCTGGGAATTAAACGAGAAACGCTCGAAAATACAGCGTTGAACATTTCCGTGAAATTTGTTAACATCCAATTTTCACATCCACGATATTATTCTCAACAAGGTTGCTTTGAATTGATAAAAAAAAAAATGGCAGTTGAGCTCGCGAATGAAAGGAAGCGCGGGCCATATTGTGCAATTTCGCGCGAGATGAAATGCCGGAACTGTTCGAATCGAATCACGGCAACGAAACTCGCGCCGACACAATTGATTTGCTTTACCGTTGCCCAGCCGCGCCAATCCGCCAAAGCCACGGCGAAACTGTTCCGCTCTAATTTCACCAAAGATCGCGAACAAAAGCAACACGCCCGAACTCGTCGACGTGACTCAAACAGTTGTGACTGACAGTCGAAATGCACAGAGGAGTCGCGATGCTTCGTGTTACGCGCACTCGGCGCACTCGCGGCCGTTCACTCGTCGAGACCCTCTTCGCAGTAAGTATCGACGAAATTACGATGGGCGCCGAAGGCCATTTACGAAACGCATACTAACAAACGATGCTGGCTGGCTGGCTGGCTGGCTGGCGACGAGCTCTGCCGACTGACGCAACGGACGTTCGAGATATCGTGGAATATGACGCGCGCAACGAGCCATTCGTATAATTTCGGCCCGCAATTGCGTTAGCCAATGACGTCTTCTCGATCACGTCTTGTGCGAGATCGTAAAATACTGATTTCTTTTTCTCTAGATTAAAGAGATACCCAGACAGACTTTCATGATTATCACGAAACAATCGCGGAAACCCCACAATCTTTTCTGATTACATTTATAAGAGGCAAATATACTGTATTGAATTAATCATTATATTTATGTCATACAGGAATTTGTTGTGTGTTATATTGATGTAGCTTGAAACTAATTAAAAGCTACACTCAGCTTTTCATGTTACATTTTGCATTGCTTTTAGCCGATTTTAAACAAAGGAAGTTCTCAGTTTGTTCTGCATGTATCTTTGTTTGTTCGTATGCTCTCCCATAACTTGAGGTATCTATTGGCGATAAAAATAAGCAAACCGAATTTTTGCTTTAATTTAATATTCTCCTAATTGAAATGCCAGACTTACTAAATTCAGAGTTTATTTTGAATCAATTTGATGCTTATAATAAATTTATAATAGATTTTCGGATATATGAACTTTTAGAAAATTGCAACAAATGACATTGAGAGGCAAATATACTGTATTGAATTAATCATTATATTTATATCATACAGGAATTTTTTGTGTGTTATATTGATGTAGCTTGAAACTTATTAAAAGCTACACTCAGCTTCTCATGTTACATTGCATTGCTTTTAGCAATTAAACGATTTTAAACAAAGGAAGTTCTCAGTTTGTTCTGCATGTATCTTTGTTTGTTCATATGCTCTCCCGTAACTCGAGGTATCTATTGGCGATAATGAAATGAAATTTTTTATACAACTTGTCCAGTATGTTATTTACATGGTTCTCAGATTAGTGTCATTATAGTGTCAAAGTTCATATGGTACTCATATCTATCGTATAGAATAACGGCATACAAATACGAAACAAATTATCAAAATTTACTTAAAACAATATGTGATATAAATTTGTTACTGCATCGATATAGCAAAAAATTTACATTATTGTATAATATAAATTTATTGACTAATTGAGTACAACATATTTGCTTCATAAATAAAATAAATATATTAAGAGAAATTGCAAGAATATTTCCATCACCGATTCTCTCGCGTCGTGATAATTATGAAAGTTTATCTGATTTCTTTTCGTATTTCTATTTTACACGTCATTCTATAATTCTGATAAATATTTTACATTCTGATGTTATATATTCCATATTTTGAATTTATATTCTGATAAATATGAGTACCATATACACACAGAAACATATTATTTTAAGCTGCTAAGATAAGTAATTATTTATTTTCTTTCTGTCAAGTGATTGTTGTTTTCAACGAAGAATCACTTCTTGACAATGGTCTTAAAAATATACTCATCATAAGTTAAAAAACTTATTATTATTATATATTCAAAAGAAGAATTTATTCTATTTATAAGAATATCGTGAAACTTTATTAAAGAAAAATTTGATTCGATTCTATGTAAAAAATAAGCAAACCGAATTTTTGCTTTAATTTAATATTCTCCTAATTGAAATGCCAAACTTACTAAATTCAGAGTTTATTTTGAATCAATTTGATGCTTATAATAAATTTATAATAGATTTTCGGATATATGAACTTTTAGAAAATTGCAACAAATAACATTTGCGTGAATGTAATATATATTTAACTATGTGGGACTCATGAGGAATGCAACCAGATCGAGCAGTAAAGTTGTTGCCAAAGAGGACATTCAAGTTTTATCTGATTTAAGAGCTCTCGATAATGACAACTTGTTTTGTATACGTTTAAAGCTTACATCGAGTCCAATGTATATCTTACCGTTCTCGAGCAAAATGGCCCAAAAAAAAATGAAAAAAATAAAAATGTCCCAATTTCAAGACTGACTTAAACTCAGCGTGATTTCGATCTGATAACGCCTTCACGTCCAAACTACATTGAGAAAAAAGTATTTGGTATTCGTAACTATAATCGCAGAAAAAATTGATTATTATAAATTATGACCGAGAAAACTATTTTTTATTAAAGTCTACTATAATATTAGTGATAATAACCTTGTATCCATGTTACTTCTACTATTAGCGTGTTAGAACAACCAAAAAATATGGTTGAGGCCGAAAATAACTATAAATCTAGTTAGATCAACTATTTTTTTCTCTCAGGGTGAGGGATGTCTTTTAAGGACAGATTTTTTCCGTTCATAAAGGACGGACAATGTCAGTTGATACTTGTCTTTATTTCCATGGTGCTATCTGTTGAAATTGACTCTCTTCTGGACCATTTTTCGTGAAAACAATAAGAGGTTTAATGTAGAAGAAAAAGAACTCGACGTGAGCTTTGATTATATGCAAAAAATTGTTTATTGAGGGCTTCAAAATTAGACGAAATGTTTATGGGTGTTTATGGGGTCACACTCTTTACATACTCCTGTCCACTTGTATAGCTCCCAATTACGACTGCGAACGAACTAAGAACAAGGACTTGCATTTCTTTCGTCGGGATCACTCCGGATTCGCGATTACGTCAGAGCTAAGGCAAACTTTGAAACGAGACTGCGAAGTATCGCTAGAAAATAGACGCGCGTGCCAGCCGAGCAAAGAATTTCACGACTCTCAAACATGCGTGACGTCTGTCAACGTGAGTCAGCGTGCACGATCGTCTCTCTTTCTCTCTTCAGACGTGTTCCGAGATTCTCGCATGGATCTGACGCGATAACCGGTTTCCCTCCGCGAGATTCGGATGAAAAGTCCAATTGTGCAACGTCCAGAATCATCGAAATTTCACGGATCCCGTTTCTGTTCTCGAGACCTACAGCACAAGTACGATCGTGTCGGACGAAGTTTACGAGGAAGTTTCGCTCAGCGGAACGAATATATCGATGACTCATGCGCCGCGTATGCTCCCGACTCGATCTCCAGTGTTGCGAACTTTGCGATGCTTCCAATAAATTTTCCGCGAAAGTGCGTTTCGTTATCGCGTAATAAAAATTGTCTGGCTGACGTTGTTGAGTATATCCTTACTCCGCGATAATCGCGGCGAACGAACGGCGACGGTGGCAGTATCGTAAAGAGCGGCCGGAAACGAGAGACGGCCGGCGTTTCTGCGAGCGCCAGGTGTTCCGAATTTTCGAGCATTCGCGAGCCTTCGCAATAAGAAAGCAGCAAAGTTCGCAGTCTACTACGCCGGTGCTTTCACTTGTTGCGCGCCGGGGCCAACGATGATCGATGATCTCCTCGCGTATCATTCGATAGCCGCAGACCGCAGACATCGTGTGTGGGGCTTGTCATCACACGTTCACCATCCCTTCCCAGGTATCCGATATCGATATTTCTAATAATACCACTTCCCCTCGTGTGTTCTTGCTCTGCTGACGCCGTGTACATCATCGTAGTAGCCACGAGCTACTGTCGAATCTCCGCGTGTCGATTTTTTTTTTTCTGAGCTCGTGATACCGATGTTTATCGTAGAATTCGGCTGATACTGATCGTATACAAATATTTCTTTTAACGCGACATATTCGGCAATTTATGCCGCAATTCTAAACAGAATCGTAAGATTCGTAACTTGCTCCCGTAAAATTCGTAGGAACTTATGAATAGATTTACGATTCTATACCGTATATCATGCGATCATTCGTAAATATCTACGATTTCATGTAATTTATGATATTTACAAGTAATCGCGTAACGTATGATATGCATAGAATTGTAGATCTACTCATAAATTCGTACGAATTTTACGAGAATAAGTTACGAGACTTACGATCCTGTTTAAAATTACAGCATTCATCTCTCTCTATGGATTCATAAATATTTATGAATATATTAACGATGACTATAAGAATGTTTCAGTTTATATGCGCAATTTCCTAGGAGCGTATATACATCAGGTAAAAAATCGTAAAATTTGTGTAAAACTGTAATCGTTATTATCATTAGAAGCATTTTTTTAACGTAACATATTCAGTAATTTAGTTTCTCTATGAATTCATGACTGTTTCTGAATATATTATCGAGGCATATTTTCTGAATATATGCAGAAGTTTTTAATGAGCAATTTTCTACGAGCGTATAAATTAGGTGAAAATAACCCTATGAGTTCATATAAAATTGTTTCCCACTGTTGAAATATTCGCCTCTGAAGTGAAACAAGAACATTTTTTTTTAGGAAAAGATTTGAACAATCAAAGAAAGTGTTTTAAAATTTAAAAATAGTACTTGCTTCAAAATTTGGGGGTTCAAAAATTTAGGGGTGGTTTGCCTTGCGACTCCCTAATCTTTCTCCAAATATCAAAAGATATATCAAGCTATTCTAACATCTTTCGCTCAGTATAAAAATGATACAAAAATTATCAAAATCTCTTCCCCCCTTCTCTTTCTCTTTCTCTCTCTCTCTCTCTCTCTCTCTCTCTCTCTCTCTCTCTCTCTCTCTGCTAATTAATATAAAAGATATTTTTAAAAAATACTTTTAAAAAATGCTTTTCAGACTCAAAGGATAATTTCGAAGGCGAATATCTCAGTAAGGGTGCGTTGTAAAGAAAAAACTGCATGAACTTATGTGGAGTTATTTTCGCCTGATCTAAACGTCCGTAGGAGATTTCCCATTTTTACTGAAACACTCTGTACACACCGAAAAAATATTGTAATAAAAATTACGACAAAATTTGTTAATCTTGAACCATATATAGAAATTATGACCGAAATTACTATATATATCTTTACAAATGTTATTAACTACAAAATTATTGTAATTATGAATATTTTTTTTTTATATCGTATATGCAATAAATTACAGTAGTTTATACTGGAACGTCAATATAAACCAACTTTACACAGAAAATATTATAAAATGAAACATAATTTTAACATTTTTTAACGTTTTTACTACAACATTTTCTCCGTGTATGATTTGAATTTGATAATGCGATTCCCTATATCCGGTGGCACATATGACACGCTTTAAATGCACCTTTCGGAACGCGGGAGACGGAAGAAATTCCGAAGTAATTTGTAAACGACGTCCTCGCCCATCTTCGTCGTGTCCTTTCCTCTCACGCGCTCGCTCGTTCTCACGTTTTCGCGGCGCCACGCGTTCCGCGAGTTTCGCATTTCGCGAGCGATGTACCAGGGGGGAGAGGGGAGGGGGGCTGCGACGAAGAACGTCGGAGGGCGAGAAGTGAAAGGGAGAGACACAAGCTAGGACGGCGAAACGAAACGAAGGACCCCGGGAGATGGATTTATGATTAATGCCGCGAGACGGACCGGGTAGTAAAAAGCGCTCGCCGCCGCGAAAGTAAAGGGCCGTAAAACCTAATGAGATGAGTTCTATCGGGATCTCCGAGGGAGACTGGTTTGTGTGCGCATGGAACCCTCCCGTACCAATATTGGCTGCGTGCCGGTCGAACGACCGTGTCGTACCGGGTGTTTGGAAATAGCCGCGACGGAACGGATGTTCCTCGTCGTCGGGGAGCCGCGACGATCTTCTCTCTGCCAAAATATTTTTCTTATTTTTCGCGCGTATATTTGTCCTCGCGCAATATTTGTTCCTTCTCGATAAGAACTTGCGATAAGAATAATCACCGTTATTTCTGCTACTCGGCTGGCTGCAATTTTGCGTCATTTATCGAGTTACGATATTTTCACAACTAAACATCGAATTCAGATTCGGTTGACACGAATCGAAATTTTGATCTTGCTTTCGACCTCAATATTCCATTTAACACTTATTCTGAAACTTATATCAACCTCTTTTCAGTCTATTTAACCTAATAACTTTGCTAACGAATTAAAAGACTCTGAGGTCAAAAGATCATAAAATATATTAAAAGGCCAATAAAAGCCAAACACAAGGTATTAGTATAAAAAAGATAAATGATTTTTACTAGGTGAAAAATCAATTACAACAAACGCTTCGATCCTACATTTGAATCTTCTTCAGTATTAGTCCTCAGACGGAAGAGAAGTTCTCTTTAAAATCTACAAGTGGCATCCTGTATGCTTTCTGTCACTTAGAGGTGCTAAATAAGACTTCAATTTTGATCTGTATTAAACATAATGATCATTACTCATCAGAATATACAAATGTTAAAAAGTTCAGGTCGTAAGTAGGGCCAAAATTTCGACTCGAACAGGAAATTCCAAATTGAAATTTTGATCCTAATTTCGATCTCAATATCTCATTTAACATCTACTCTGAAGAGCCTATAGTAACATTTTTTATTCTACTTAACCTACTAACTTTTCCGAGAAGTCCTCTTTAGAACTTACAAGTGGCACCTTTGTGCGTTTTTGCTATTTAGAGGCGTTAAGTAGGACTTCAGAACTTCTTTTCATGTGAATTAACCTTTTCGTTATCAACGGGACATGTGTGTATGTGTGTTTTCCCCGCTATTAATAAAAACCTTATTCAAATGAATAAATAGCTTCTTTAGCATCCAGAACACATCATTCTACTTATTACCGTTGGGAGAAATATGCCCTCTCAAAAACATGTCCCAGTGGGACATCAGTATCCCTTTGATGCCGAACATAAAACTTTTTTTTTATTTTTGCTAAAACTACATTATGTATTAATATATTTAATAAAGCGAAAGTAAAATTAGTAGCGAGAGTTTATATATATATAAACATATATTGATCCTTTAGACATATATTAGAAAGTTCAGGGACCTTATCCAGCGTATTGAACATTAAATACATGCCTTTCTGGCTTTCAAGCAACATTACAATGGAATATCTAATATGTACGTCCAGAATAAGGTCTCAAGTTGAAAGCAAAATTGAAAAGAGATATCAAAATATCAAGAGAAGGTAGAAAGCTTAAAAAACACTTCAATGACTATTTCACTAATCAATAATAAATCCTGATTTTCCCACAACTTTCCCGAACCAGTTGGACAAGTAATTGTTCTTTTTTGTTTCTAGAAGATCCCCGAACAGTTCTCAATAATTATTTGACGTTCCGTTGGTAAACCAACAAAAAATGGCCTATTTTTAACATCCTCCTTTCAACTCGGGGTGAGTGTCACGTTAAGATTGGCTCGTTCACTTTGACGAACGCTATCGATTCTCCGCGTTAGGCAGCGACATTAGGTTTTAACACCTTGTATAAGAGCGAAAGCGAACACGGATACAGTCGGTGCGCGATGTCGATTAGCCCGAACGAAATTGCCTCCGCAAAACGACTCCGCGGCACCTTCGACACCGTTGCCTGGTGCCGTCACGATTTCTCGTTCACCGTTCCTTTGTCGTCGCGCACGCCACTTACGTGACGATACGGCGGTCTCCGTCGACCTTGGGGTGTAATACATGAGGACATGGAAAGTTGTAACCGCGCGGCAGGCGAGATAATAACAAGCAACGCGGCGACACGTCGCCGACGTTTGTCAAAAGAAAGAAACGATTCTCGCGATATGTCGTTTATGAATAATGAGAAGTGCAATAGACGCCGCGACAAGCACCGACTGTGTGTGTCGAAAATCAAAATTACTTTCTAATAACGTACTCACGATACATCCCGACGGTCGTACATCGTTTTAGGATTTCCGAAACTTATTTCCACGCACAGCTCACTTTCGATAGATAAAAGATGCGTAAAACACGGAGCGATGTCGATCGCGATGTGTCAGGGAAGACTGCTTGTCGTGAAAAGATCGAAGTACAAGATGGCCGCGCAATCAACGATACAGTGCCGAAAGTGCGCGCCAAAACGTGAACGATGTCGCGGCTTGACAAGGACGCGCTCTAGTAGCTACGCCTCTCACTCTCGCTGACGGAACGACCGCGCGACGTCGCGTATATCTCTAGCGTCGTTTTCTTTCTCGTTTCCTCGAATTATCATCGCGATTCTAATTTTTCGTTAATAAATCCAACGATCGTCCGATTCTACTACTACTTGAGCAAGTCGATGTTAATGAG